TCAAGCTGAGCATCAGTCACTTTCTTAATAAGTGCTGCATGGTAGCATTGTTAGTTTTCGTTTCCATTGCTTTGCTAATAATTGGAGAGCGAACTGTTTGGGTGGTCATTGGTGGAATTGGATTTGTCCTGCTTTTTTGCACAAGGCATAAATGGGCAAATTTTCACTTTGTTAGGTAGATGTCAGTATTGGAGCTGTCCTATCTATGTTAATAACTAGTTCTGGAGCCCAACTCTTTAATTCTATTAATGGAATATTGTCAGGGCCCATAACCTTTGTAGTACCCAGTGTCATCAGCCATTGCTTGATGTCATGTAAAGTAATGCAACTACTTTTTATTCCTCTTTTGTTCTCATGATTTGTACCTAGGTACTTGCACCTAAGATAATGCCATAAGAGGCATAGAACATAGAACATAGAACATAGAACATTACAGCGCAGTACAGGCCCTTCGGCCCTCGATGTTGCGCCGACCTGTGAAACCAATCTGAAGCCCATCTAACCTAAACTATTCCATTATCATCCATATGTTTATCCAATGACCATTTAAATGCCCTTAAAGTTGGCGAGTCTACTATTTTTGCAGGCAGGGCATTCCACGCCCTTACTACTCTCTGAGTAAAGAACCTACCTCTGACATCTGTCCTATATCTATCACCCCTCAATTTAAAGCTATGTCCCCTTGTGCTAGCCATCACCATCCGAGGAAAAAGGCTCCCACTATCCACCCTATCTAATCCTCTGATCATCTTGTATGTCTCTATCAGGTCACCTCTTAACCTTCTTCTCTCTAACGAAAACAGCCTCAAGACCCTCAGCCTTTCCTCACGAGACCTTCCCTCCATACCAGGCAACATCCTGGTAAATCTCCTCTGCACCCTTTCCAATGCTTCCACATCCTTCCTATAATGCGGTGACCAGAACGGTACGCAATACTCCAAGTACGGCCGCACCAGAGTTTTGTACAGCTGCAACATGACCTCATGGCTCCGAAACTCAATCCCTCTACCAATAAAACCTAACATACTGTACGCCTTCTTAACAACGCTATCAACCTGGGTGGCAACTTTCAGTGATCTATGCACATGGACACCGAGATCTTTCTGCTCATCCACACTACCAAGAATCTTACCATTAGCCCAGTACTCTGTATTCCGGTTACTCCTTCCAAAGTGAATCACCTCACACTTTTCCGCATTAAACTCCATTTGCCACCTCTCAGCCCAGCTCTGCAGCTTATCTATGTCCCTTTGTAACCTGCAACATCCTTCTGCACTATCCACAACTCCACTGACTTTGGTGTCATCCGCAAATTTACTAACCCATCCTTCTACGCCCTCATCCAGGTCATTTATAAAAATGACGAACAGCAGTGGCCCCAAAACAGATCCTTGAGGTACACCACTAGTAACTGAACTCCAGGATGAACATTTCCCATCAACCACCAGCCTCTGTCTTCTTACAGCTAGCCAATTTCTGATCCAAACCGCTAAATCACCCTCAATCCCATGCCTCTGTATTTTCTGCAATAGCCTACCATGGGGAACCTTATCAAACGCTTTACTGAAATCCATATATACCACATCAACCACTTTACCCTCATCCACCTGTTTGGTCACCTTCTCAAAGAACTCAATAAGGTTTGTGAGACACGACCTACCCTTCACAAAACCGTGTTGATTATCCCTAATCAAATTATTCCTTTCTAGATGAGGCAGACATTGTAAAAGCTTTTCACTGGACATCTGCAACGGAGTACACGTGACAATGAAGGATATTTTATTCTATTCTATTTGTGGAGTGAGTTGAATTGGTTGAAGATTGGCATTTGTGATACTGTGATTTCAGGAGGAGTCAGAAATGGATCATCCACTCAGCACTTCTTGGTGAAGATGGATACAAGTTTTTCAGATTTGTCTTTTGTACTGATGTGCTGGGGACTCCCCCATCATTGAGAGTGAAGATATTTGAGGAGCCTCTATCTCCTGTTATTTGCTTAATTGTCCACAATCATGCATGATGGTGCGGTAGGACTGAGAAACTTAGATCTGATCCATTGGTTGTGGGATTGTTTATTTGCATCAGATCTAAGTTTCTCAGGTCTGATTGTTGTGTGCTGCTTCTGCTGTTTGGCATGTAGGTGGTACAGCTACGTGCTTCAATTTTAGATATGCCTCATGCTGCTTCTGGCATACCTTCCTGCCCCCTTCATTGAACAGGGGTTGATGGCCCTAATAGATTTCCTTCCCTTAATGGCATTAGTGAAACAATGAACTCAATTTTGCCCATCCAGCTTGTTTGCTATTCAATAAGATCTGTTTGTGTTCTAAATTCCACATTCTCATGTAAACCCAATAACCTTTGATTAACCTTCAATTATTGTCTAACAAGAATCTACAGTATTTACCATGGGCCTTAAACATACTCAATGACTCTGCTTGTGCTGCCTTCAGAGACAGAGTTCCAATGTCTGTCAACCCACAGAGAGAAGAAAAGTCCCCTAATTTCTGTCCTAAAACGGTGATCCCTAACAGTGTTCCTTAGTTCTGGACTTACCCAGAACTACTTTATTCTCCCTGCTAAACTAAACAACTTTACATTTTCGCACTTAGCTGACTTTTCTCCTGCCATTTAGTTTGTCAAAAGACAACAGATCCTGTTGGTATTATTCTCGTTGTACCTAGGCATCTGCCCACCTCTAATCTTAATTCTGTGCTTTTCATATCTTGATTTTCTTTTGCTTTGAGTCCTTTTTTGCCCTTGGGCATTTGTGTATATGTTTTCCTTTTCCAAGGGCAAATGATTCCATGTTTTCCTTTTAACCTTCTGTTCTTTTTTTTATATTGCCTAATCTCTGCATTTCACAATATACAATGAATTATTCTTCAGCATGAAAATTCTGACATTTTCTATAACCACCAGATTTTGTTCATGGTCATTGTAATGTTTGTGTATTCCTCCAACTTCTAAGGTGTTTTAATTTTTTAGAAAAGTGAGTCAGTTTTCTTTCCTGTTACAAACTTTAGGTCCTTGAAATGCAAGCAATGCAACATCTGAACATTTACTTGAATTTTACCTCTTTTACCTCTGTGGTCATCATGATGGCTGATTCTTTGTCCTTTAACTTCTTAACAAAAGATAATGCACCTGATCAGCAATGTATAGTAAATGTCATATTTTGTGAGATTAGCTATATCTTAATAGGCTCTCTGGTGAGAATCAGGTATAGAGATACTAAAAAAAAAATTGTACGGCTGTTCACAATGAATCCTTTGAGGTGGATTAGAAACAGATTTTAAGTCAATCATAGATCACAGAATCAATTATAGAATCCCTACAGTGTGGAAACAGGCCCTTCGGCCCAACAAGTCCACAATGACCCTCAACACATCCCATCCAGACCCATCCCCCTATAGTCCACCTAACCTACACATCCCTGAACACTACAGGCAATTTAGCATGGCCAAACCACCTAGCTTGCACATCTTTGGACTGTGGTAGGAAACCGGAGCACCCGGAGGAAACCCATGCAGACTTGGGGAGAATGTGCAAACTCCACACAGACAGTCGCCCGAGGGTGGAATTGAACCCAGGTCCCTGGCGCTGTGAGGCAGCAGTGCTAACCATTGAGCCACCGTGCCGCCCTTAGCCACTATGCTGTGATGAAGAAAAGAATAAAGGATAGACCTGTTAAACTAAAAACATGAAAACAAGATAAAAAAAAAAATACATCTGGTCAAAAAGAAATCAAACTGGAGGGCAGAATTCATGATCTGAATATGTTGAACTCCGTGTCAAGATCAATACCCAATCACAATGTGATGTGCTATTCGTCATGCTTTCACTAACCTTCAGTGTAACATTCTAGGAGGCTGATGACAGAGATGTGAGTGTAAGAGCATTATAGTGAATTAAAATGTCAGGAAATTAGAAGGCCTGCCATTGCATCTTGCCATGCAATTGTAGGAAATGTAACAATTGCTCTTTTACCTCCTTTGTCGTAACTGTACAAGCTGCCAAACACTCCAACCATCTTGTGCTTCTTTCACTTTAGTTTAGTGTACTTGTTGCTCACAATGTGGTTTGCTTTACAATGGAGACCAAAAAAAAGACTGGGTGACTGCTCAGTCTGCTGTGTGAACCCGACAACCTTTCTGATTCAGAGATGAGTTCTACCAATTGAACCATGTTGTTCAATGAAACACAGGAAAATGGCAACATAAACCGAAGGCAAGGGAGACACACATAGCATTTCTATAAATGCGAAAACTGTTTGAGAAATCTTATAACAAATTCATTATCTTATTTGGAAACCTGTACAATATACTACTTGAAATGAAGGGATGTCCCACGTTTTTTCTATACTTTTGCGGTAAAAGTGTTTGCAATGAATCGGTAACTCCAACTCAAATAAACTAAAATGACTGTAGTTAGTGATCTATATGTGGGCTGTTTTTGAGTTGCTTTCTCTGTTGTTAGTACCAGTTTGAAGTTGGTCAGCTTTTTCAACTTTTCCAGCTTGTGACCCTGCAACATCTCTGTGTGGGCTTTGTCACAATGTTAAAGAACCATGCAGTAAACTTGACCATATTTAATTGTATCATTTACCAGGTTATGCAGTTCATAACAATTAAATTGGAAAAGTCAGTATTTTGATTGAATTTTGTGGATCAAATTTGTAGTGATGTTAAATTGTGGGTGTGCATACTTGTATTCATGGGAGTTCCATTATATTAAATGTATGTTCTGCATTGGAAATATTTGCGAATCAAACTTGTAATTGAGTAGTAATAACTATGGAAAAACTTGATAAAGGGGCTGCTTTAGTTTGATTTGTAGTAAACATGGATCACTTCAGTTCTGACCTTTAAAGAGACTTAAGAAGTAAATGTACTTTCAGAATTTTAGAGGTACCAAATTAATAATTGTAGTTACAATTTTCTTGACTTTATTAGTTACTCTATGTAAAATCATGTAATTTCATATCACATTATTTCTACTTCAGGAAAGCTCAAGAACAGAATAAAAAGGTGGTAGTTGCTGGATGTGTTCCTCAAGCCCAACCACGGATGGACTACATTAAAGGCTTGAGCATTATTGGGGTAAGAATATTTTTCTAATAAGTCACCTAAAAAATTCAGCTTTTCAAGAAGTTTACATTGGTTCATAGAAGTGTAGAATCCCTATAGTGTGGAAAGAGGCCGTCCGGGCCATTGAATCTGCAGCTACCCAGACCCAGCTCCCCTCGTAACCCCCATTTGCCATGGCTAATCCGTCTAATCTGCACATCCCTGGACGCTGCAAGACAATTTAGCATGGTCAATCCAGCCAACCACCTTTGGACTGTGGGAGGAAACCGGAGCACCCAGTGGAAACCTACTCAGACAAAGGGAAAATGTGCAAACTCCACCCAGATAGTCGCCTAAGGCTGGAATCACACCCGGGTCCCTGGCACTATGCGTTAGCAGTGATAACCACTGAGCCACCGTTACACCTACAATTCTTGGATCTTTGTGTATGCCTGGTTTGGATTTGGCAAATGCCTTGTCTTGAGGATCTCAAAGTGTTAAAATCTAGAAGATTGGCAAATTGAATGTTGTGTTTGGAAGGAGACATATTCTTGCAGTATTATGTGAAGTCCATAGTTTCTCCTCAATAGTTTTCTACCATTTTTAAAAAAAAAATCTCTGCTTTGTGTTTTGCTCCTTTTTAAGATCATTAAATAGTTTGAGGAGAGTCTTAAATCCCTAAGTGGATGGGAATTGGGGAGGGAATGCCATATTCTGAAATTTCAAGCACGACTATACCTGCCTTCCCTTATGGATTTAATGAAAAAGTACTTGACTGCATGCAAATAACCTGGTCACCAGAGGCGATGGAATAATGTTGGACAAGCAGATCAGTATTTAGTACAGCTATTTATATAATTAGTATGTGAAAATTCAGCTACTTTGCATTGTTTTAAACACATGTATAATATTACTGCCTCTAGCACAAGTTCCTGAGATCTCTGGGAAACTTGCCAGTGAAAAGGTGATTTGTCATAGGAGTGTTTAGGGTTCACGTTGTCCAATATGAGTAAAACCTCAATGTTTGCACTACCTTGTCGGTTCTGCTGGCTAATGTTTTGTATCGTGAACTTAAGCTTTCAAACAGCAACCATTGAGTTGGGGTACGCTATAAATATTTTTGAGAAGCCATTGTCATCAAATCAAATTTCTGTGTTTCAGAAGATAATGCTAATGAACAACATTAAATATTGAAAAGTTTAATGTTACTGATAATTCAGGAAAGGTAGGATTGGGCTATTACCAATCAAATTTATAATATAATTCCTGAGCTGAGTGGGAAGGGCCTGCTATTTGTGCTGTGACTATCAAACCTATTATTGACAGCCACGCCTCACTAGGGTAGCACACCTGGAAATCAAGCCCCGCTATTTCAGGAGTCATCACATAAGTTAAAGAATTTATCAAAGTGTACAAAATTCCCCGATTTACCTGTCTTTCTTGACCGAGGGTGACAACGTGAATCAGGTTGCTGTACTTAAAAAGAACTGCTATTTATTACAAATAAATAGATTCTTGTTACAAGTAAATAACCATGGACTGTTTATGTATAACTCTAATATTTAAATCCTAACCTCCTTGTAAAACTCACCCTGCAAACACATGCAGATAAATTTTAAAAATTGGTATAATTGATGGAGGGAAAAGCTGGGCAAGCAGTTCAATGGTCCCTGTCGACAGGGTTCACTGAGATGATCCTATTGGTTTGCCAGAATTTGATGTTTGGCAATCTCTCTTCTCCAGGTGCTTTCACTTGGCTTGCAGGAGGCTCAGAGCAACTTGTTCACAACTTATAAAGCGTCTGACCTATTGGTTAAAAGCCGCAGCTAAAAGCAAGTGGTGCGAGAAAATAAAGTGGTATTCTTCAGGCTTTAGGTATTTTTCACTACAAAAAGACAGACATCACTTCCCCTTTTGGAGGTCTGAAGGCTTCTGGGTTTTATTGTTCACGCCAACAAAATGTTCGTCTATATGGGAGTAAATTACATTGTTGTCGGCAGGCAGAAAAGCCTTTTCCATTGACAATAGCCAGCGCTGCACAGAAACAAACAGCGACTTATTTCGGGCTACATCTTCCTTTGTGCACATCCCCCCACCTCCTGCACCCCCCCCCCCCCCCCCCCCCCCCCCGCGCCGCCAGTGCCCCTACAGTACTCTCCTTAGAACCATAGCAATGATACAGCACGTTAAGGGGCATTTAGCCCATCTTGTCCATGCCCTTTCTTATCCCATCTTCCTGCACATGGCCCATAGCCCTGCAGTTTACAGCACTTACGGTGCAGATCCAAGTATCTTTTAAAAGAGTTTAGGATCTCTGCCTCCACTACCAAATCGGGTAGTGAATTTCAGACACCTACCACCCTCTACGTAAAAAAGTTTTCCTCAAGTCTCCTCTAATCCTTCTGCCACTTAACTTGAATCTGTGATCCCTGTTTTTTTTAAACTCTCTGCTAAGGGAAACCGATTCCTCCTGCCGACTCTATCTCTACCCCTCACAATTTTGTATACCTTAATGATGTCACCCCTCAGCTTTCTCTGTTCCAAGGAAAATAACTCCAACCTCTCCAGTCTCTCCTCGTAGCTACAGTCCTCCAGCTCTGGCAACGTTCTAGCAAATCTTCTTTGCACTCTCTCCAGAATAGTTATGTCCTTCCATTAATGTGGTGACCAGAACTGCACACAGGAATCCAGTTATGTCCTTACCAGTGTCTTATAAAATTTCATCCTTTTGTATTCTATACCTCTGCCAATGAAAGAGAGCATTCCATATGTCTTCTTTATAATCTTATCTGCCTGTGCTGCTACCTTTAGGTACTTGTGCACTTGCATGCCAAGTTCATTCATTTCATTCACTCCTGTCAGTATATTCTCATATATTGCGTATTCCCTTTTATTATTTGACCTCCCTAAATCCCTAACTTTACAATTAGCAGAGTTGAATTCCATCTGCCACCTTGTCAAGTGCCTCACTAAAGTGCATGTAGACAACATCCCCTGCACTACCTTCATTGATCCTCCTTGTCAGTTCCTCAAAGAATTCAATCAAATTTGTAAGGCATGACCCACCCCTTATCAAAGCTATGCTGACTATCCTTGACTAGTCGCTACAATTCTAAATGACAGTTTATCTGATCTCTCAGGATTGATTCTAACAATGTGCCCATCACTGAAGTGAAATTAACTTGCCTATAATTATTTGGCATTTTCTTTGTTTTTACCCGGTAAGGGTGACCATTGCACAGTCCTTGTGGAGACGAAGTCCCGCCTTCACATTGAGAACGACCTCCATCCTGTTGTGTGGCACTATCACTGTGCTAAATGGGACAGACTTCGCACAGATCTAGCAACTCAAGACTGGGCATCCATAAGGTGCTGTGGGCCATCAACAACAGCAGAATTGTACTCCAGCATAATCTGTAACCTCATGGCTCGGCATATCCCCCACTCAACCATTACCATCAAGCCAGGGGATCAACCCTGGTTCAAAGAAGAGTGCAGGAGGGCATGTCAGGACCAGCACCAGGCGTACCTGAAGATGAGGTATCAACCAAACAGGACTACTTGCATGCCAAACAGCGAAAGCAGCAAGTGATAGATAGAGCTAAGCGATCCCACAACCAACAGATCAGATCTAAGCTCTGCAGTCCTGCCACATCCAGTCATGAATGGTAGTGAACAATTAAAGAACTCACAAATATTAATGATGGAGGCGCCCAGCACATCAGTGCAAAAGATAAGACTGAAGTATTCGCAGCAATCTTCAGTCAGAAGTGTCGAGTGGATGATCCATCTCGGCCTCCTCCAGTGGTCCCCAGTATTACAGATACCAGTCTTCAGCCAATTCGATTCACTCCACGTGATATCGAGAAACTGAGACACTGGATACTGCAAAGGCCCTGACAACATTCTGGCAATAGTACTGAAGACTCGTGCTCCAGAACTTGCCGTTCCCCTAGCCAAGCTGTTCTAGTACAGTTACAACACTGGTATCTACCCGACAATGTGGAAAATTGTTCTGTACACAAAAAGCAGGACAAATCCAACCCGGCCAATTACCACCCCATCAGTCTCCTCTTGATCATCAGTAAAATGATGGAAGGTGTCATCAACAGTGTCATCAAGCAGCACCTGCTCAGAAATAACCTGCTCGGAAATAACCTGCTCGGTGACGCTTAGTTTGGGTGACGCTTAGTTTGGGTTCCACCAGGGCCACTTAGCTCCTGATCTCATTACAGCCTTTGTTCAAACGTGGACAAAAGAGCTGAATTCCAGAGGTGAGGTGAGAGTGACAGCCCTTGATATCAAGGCTGCATTCAATCGAGTGTGGCATCAAGGAGCCCTGGCAAAACTGGAATCAATGGCCATCAGGGAGCAAACGCTCCAGTGGTTGGAGTCATACCTGACACATTGGAAGATGGTCGTGGTTGTTGGAGGTCAATCATCCCAGCTCCAGGACATCTCTGCAGGAGTTCCTCAGGATAGTGTCCTAGGCCCAACCATCTTCAGCTGCTTCACCAATGACCTTCCCTCCATCATAAGGTCAGAAGTGGGGATGTTTGCTGATGATTGCACAGTGTTCAGCACCATTCGTGATTCCTCAGACACTGAAGCAGTCCATGTTCACATGCAACAAGATCTGGACAATATCCAGGCTTGGGCTGACAAGTGACAAGTG